AGTATTGCTCTCATGGGTTTCTTCTTTTCTTCAGGTCCTGCTGTCCAGGATTCCTGTTGACCATGTGTTGATTCCTGAAGAAGCCTTCTCTGAAGACAACTAACTGCTCACAAGCTCTGTCAAAATCCTCGTTGAAGAAGTTCGTTTACGTGCAGCCATTGTGTCAACTCATTTTGGGTTTAGTAATAAAGTTGACTGATAAGTGAATGAATGAGATTCTTGCTTTAATACTCACCCCAAAATAACCAGTCCTGAGGGACCTCAATCAATTAAGATGTTACCATACGACACTTGAAACCTATACACACGGAGTTCGTGGCAGCTCCGTATAAACACGCAGTTCCCGGAAGCTCCGTACAAACACTGAGTCCAGCAGGCCGCCGTATAGCGTCGTAACTATGTTTTTTTGAAAATTTCGAGTTATGAAGTGCGTCGGATAGAGGAAACCAAAGGCTATCGATCAGCGAAAACCGCATTTTGATATGTCAATTGGTTCAAAAGTTTTTCTGGTCTGAAAATCCAGCCGCCCATAAGGCGCAATGTAAATCCTAAACTTTGAAGCGCTATATCTCAGAAGTGACTTTCAAGCACTAACGAGGTTATACGGGGGCCAGCTGAAATGCGTGTCTATACGGAGCTCCCTTGAACTACGGGTTTATACGGAGACTCCACGAACTCCGTGCTTGTTGGTTTCAAGTGTCGCATAAGTCTTTACCAATTGGTACAGTTTACTCGTATTGCCATTTTCCCTGACAGTTGTTCCAAGTAGAGATTTGGGATTCAATCGAACAGTGCACACATTGCCAACTGCTTAAATTTCAGCAAGGAATAAGTTCAGGCCAGTGGCCAACACTCATGTGATACTTTTCAAATCAGAGGAAAGTTGTAGAAGCTCAATTTGTATCAATGACTGGGCTACTTGGATTAACCGAAATATGACTAAGCTTTCAAACAAAACAGGTTTGCTTTGGACACCGAGTTCACGTTCAAACCTGGTCTGTACTGTAATACTTGTGTTTCACATGCCATGCATGGCTATCAGCCACATCACTTATTTAGGCGCACTGATAATACTAATTAAGAAACAAAACAGCTCGGCTGCGTGCAAGGATAATTGAGTTACACAAGAAATGGTAGTTTTAGGGAGCAATGTATTTCGTATTAACTACTTAATGGAAGAGCAGATGTCATCTAGATCCCTAAATTCTTACACTAAACTGACTGAGAGTCAAAGTCAAATATACACCATAAAACAGCGATAAAAATTCACCAGAAATCTTTTAACACTAACAGTGAGCAACAGTTTACAATATGTACAATGGGATTGAAATTTAAAATACTAGTCAACCATAAAATGGCAGGCATACACTGTAGATACTGCCATAAAAAGGGCAGCATTTTCGAGTCCTCTACTTCTGACGCGAAGTGATAAGCCATTTCTCTAGGCAATCATAATGAAATAAATGGCCGCATTCCGTGACAGTGAAACGGCCTGCATCTCTTCCCTCTTTGCAGATGGCGCACTCCAAGTCACCTGTGAATAGATAGTTGGTTTAGAGAATGATTGAACAATAATAGCAACCCATTGAAGCATTTACAACGTACTATTCTTTGAGCTGTGCCCTGAACTGCTGGCTTCAGCTCGACAAGTTGAGTCATGCTTTTGCTTCTTGTTTTTAGATCCTTTCGGGCGACCACGAGGTCTGGTTGCTTTCGCAGGAGTCTGAGAGGTTTGCCTCTGAACACTGCTGACAAGGTGGGCTATCCCTGGATAGCCAGCTGTAGACTTGTTCACTCCTCCTGCAAAAGTAGTCCAACGCTCAGAAATAATATAACAAAACTTGTGCTGTGTATTATGCTTCAAATTACTTACCTCTTTGCTGTAGACCACCATCAATTTCATCTTCGTCAGAAGACGGAACAATGATTGGACCTGTAATAAAAAAAAAAAACATTTTTCGTGAACTTTGTATGCAGTTGTACAGTTTGGTAAAGATAATTGTGTACTCACGATTCACTCTGGGGTTAACATTTTCTTTGTCACTGCTGATACGAGAACAATCATTTAAGGACAGAGCATTACTTGGGCCAGCAGTAGATTGGAAAGCAGCAGCACTTGTTGATGCTCGGGGCAACTGGGAATATCCACCACTTGGGCCCGCAGTGGATTGAAGAGCAGCAGCACTTGTTGATGCTCGGGGAAACTGGGAATATCCACCACTTGCGCCGGCAAATGATAGAGATGTAGCAGCACTTGATGCTTGGAGTTTCTGAGAATTCCTTCCCGAATTGCGGACCTGACGAGGGCTGCTAATGGCAGACGGAGGGGGGCAGCTCAAAAACATCAGCTGAAGCAGCTCCCAAACACTGGAGAGGTTCGGCAGGTGCCACTGATGCAGATGATAGTTCTGCTTCAGCACTAGTGCCAGGACTGGCCTCAGCAGCACATGGCACAGGGTCATTGTGAGTTACAACGACAGTTGCATTTGAAAACTGTGCAAGAATTGACTGCAACAGAGCTGCAAAACAAAGGTCATTGTAAACAAATTTGAAAGGTGTAGCAACACGTTCAATTTTAGAATCGGGAAAAGTTACCTTCAGCACCAGTTCCTGTCACTGTCAGCGAGAAAATAGTATCAGGCCGAGGCGTCTTGTCCTGAGGCGTCTTCTCCTTAGGCTTCTCTTCAACCTGCGGCAAACCCTCATTCAGACTCTGGAAACGACGAAGCCGTTTCTGCCTGAGATCTTCGTTATCCATACTGAAACACTAAAGTAAACCAAGTCACTTAGTCTCTGAACCGAACTCACAGCGGACAGAAAGAAGAGAGACTGAAGTGCACAAAGTATTATAACTGCAAGTTGACTTCAAGTTTGCCCATGAGCAAAGTACGAAAGTGTTTACGTTTTCACTAGCAGCACGAAAACTCAACACAATTATCGAGAGACACACATCACATACCAATGATACTTCTACTTACACGTGGTCTTGAAACACGACGTACAAGTCGGGCCAGAAGGAGAAAAACTGATTGCCTCGCAATAGTGCGCGCTGTCAAGCCAGAAGGACCACAACTGATTGCCTCGACAAGTGCGCGCTCCGTCTATATCTCCAGCTGATCGCGATCGCTTCGTAGCGGAAGTTTACTAAAAAAAAAGTTCCACGGAAAGTAGTTCGAAGTGCGACTGTGTCTTTTTAAAATGTTAGAACGCACAAAATTTAAAACCATTATGAGCACGTATGCGTCTGATTAATGCTAAACCTAAAATCACTTTCTAGTCTATTTTACACACACTTTATTAGGCGTGTGAAAGGAAAGTCTTTGGATGTCGGTTGACCACAGCAAACCCTACCCTGGCCGCATTCATGAAAATCCGCAGCCAATTATTTCCTCCTTTCTCACCTCCTCTACTGGCACTCCCTCTCAGTCAGCAGCCGGTTTCCTGACAAGCACAGAGTCGTTCCTGGGACGCCGATGGAAGATGGACGTTGGTGTCAGAGTGGAAGTTCTACGGGGAAGGGAAAATGGCAAGTTCATCTTCCACATAAATAATGGCTATTATTACTGTGTGAAAGAGATCCGTCCACGAAGAGCCAGATTGATCTGCCGACGGTATAAAGGGACTGGTTGTCCAGCAACGGCTAGTTTATGTTTGGTCTGGTCCTTTAAGACCATTGCAGGCTCACACTTGTGAAGTTGATCCATTATTTGTTGAGGATGGTAGAGTGAGAGCTAGCCTTTTGAGGAACGCAAGTGAAAATCTGTCAGGAGACAGCATCTGCAAAATTCTTAGGGACATGAAATTGAGGTAAGAGCAGTAAATATTTACATTTGTTGTCGTGTAAATAAGCTGAAAATTTACCTTCCTCCTTTATGTTTTTTATTCTAGTCTGGATCCAGAACTGGCAGCTCGCTTCACACCCGCCAGAATGTATACTGCAATACACAAAGCTCGTGCTGCTAACTATCTAAGGATTCCCACCACACTCCAGTACCTTGGTATATTGCTTGGACTTCCAGATATGCAGGCTGTCGGCCAAACCATTGATAAGCAAGATTACATCTTTCGGGCAGTTATTGGTTGTGCTGCTAACAGGACGGTGTGCGTTGTCTTTGCATCAGGGAGAATGCTCCAATTTCATAATGAGAGAACCAACCTTCATGTCGACGGGACCTTTAAGAAAAGACCCCGCAAACCTAAGTGTGCACAGATCTACAATGTTGTTACTAGTTTTGAATTAACTGTAAGTATAAGAATGGTAATGGAGGTAACTCAAGCATTAATAGAACTGTTTCAAATGGAACTTTCATTTTCCCAAGTCATTCCCATGGTTAGGGTGCAAATGATGAGTCGGACTGAGGCGGCATACATCATGCTTTTTGATCACTTGATAACTTAAGCACCAAATCTGTCTCCAAAGAGGACCACTGTGATTTTGAAAGGGCTGCTATCAATGCTCTAGGACACTGTTTTAAAGACTCTGACATTGTTGGGTGCCTTTGGCATTACGGAGTTGTACGTATTCATTTCATGAGCTTTTATAAACCACCTTTTCCAGGATTTTACTATTTTACAAACAGTGCTTTTTCTTATAGTGCGTAGGGAGGAAATCACAAAAACTTGGCATTTCCCAGCTTGCATCAGACAACGATGTTGTGCACACATTTATTAGGTGTTTGGGTGGTGCTCCACTTCTACCTGCAGCCCTCATTGCTAAGGGAGTTGATGAAGTGTGGAGAGAGGTCCAAGCTTCCGGCTGGCAAGAAGAACTACGACCTACCTCTCTTTGATTACTTCATGAGGGAATCGATTCCCAGGGTGAATGATTTGTCAACCTTTCTGCACCCTGAGCGCACAAACAATGTCCCTGACAGTGACAATCGTATGATTGTAGTGCCTCAGAACCATCCCAACGTGTGGAGACTAATAAGTGAGTTGTTTTCCTTTTGAAGTAGTCCATCTATTTGCACCATAATTTGTTGTAATACGTCTGGCTTGTTTCAGGTGGCTTTGTTCAACTAGAACATCTTGCGTGGGTAGATAAGTTGTCTGCTAGAAAAGGAAAGGTGGTTCGGGCAAGAAAATGGAAAACAATTGCGAATGACAGCAGAGTTGAACGGCTTTCAAAACTCATTGTGGCTGATGAAATATCGCCAGGGCGATTTCTCCATGAAGCGTCATGGGTAGCAGAGGGAGCTACCAATCATGGCCAATCTTCCAACCACGCTCAAGGCAGAATATTTAGTAAATGTAAGTAGTGGACAAGGCTACGATTTGAGTTCGCACTCTGCAGAATATTTCTCGTGGAGTTGGTGGGAAAATGTGAGCTTGGCGCCGTTTGTGTATGCCTACCAACTCCATTGAGTGCACATATAACTTCACATCAAAATCAAATCGTAGCCTTGAAGCCTTGTCCACTACTTCAATTTAGAATTATTCTGCCTTGAGCGTGCGCTGCAAGGAGAGCGAGCGCAAACGTCTCAGCACACTGTAGTCACTGTGGACGAGTGGATACAGTGCCTGTCCGAGGAAACCCAAGTCGACGAAGTGCAGCGGGAGCGGTACGATCCCCGCTAGCCGCCTCTTTTGCCTTTTGACACACAGAAGCATAAGGTAAATTTGTCGTTTTTTAGCCGTAAAACGGACCACTTTTAAGCGTGAAAGAACGACAACTTCAAATGCATTGCAACGATACGCAAGAAGTTCGCCTTCTTGTCGTTATCGCGCCCTAAATTGGTTGTTAATTTACCGTTTTGTAGTCGTGATTCGTTTCGCAAACAACGACAAGAAAACGATCTTTTTACCAACTTTTGTTCCACACGGGAAATCCAAATGCTCTTACCATCGACGAATGAAAGGCAACCAGGTCGAAAAGGCGAAAGAGCCGGG